GTCGTGCCGGGGAGGGCAGTGCGTGACCTGGAACGGCGTTCCCCAGACAACACCAAACGTCACTCTTCACTGAAGGACGCCGCCACACCACGCCGACGCCGGCTTTTCCAGGCATGTGGCCAGCATGGCACCACAAAAACACAGCTGAGGTTAAACAGGAACGTCACACACACCGGGCCCCGAGGGAGCCGAGTCGCACCCTGACAATGGACGCATTACTTGCATATTAAACACGCCCGGCCCGGACGGCCCACTCGCACGAGACAATTCCCGACGCAGCGGCGTTAATACCGCTCAGGTTCGCGCGCGCGCCGTGGTTTGCACGATCGTGCGGGCCCCAGCGGGCACGTGAGGTAGCACATACGTCCTGAGCATCCGGGGACGTCACGGGGCGGTGAGGGCAGACGGCCCGCCGCGGCGTTTATAGAGCAGCTCGTGACGCTCGATGGGCCAAGCGGATCAGCTTGTTTACGTGTCCGACGGCGAGATACGGCGTATCAACGGCCGAGGGTAGGCGCAGCTTTGCACACCAGGCTGACCCAGATATGCGGCGGACGATCAGCACACAACAGGCGGCCGGCACGGACTGTCGGTCAGCACACGCGGTCAGTGAGCAGGGCCCGACTGAATGGTCCGAAGGAGTGGCCAGAGGCCCTATGAAGGGCCCGCAGCCCCAAGTCCGGGCCGCCAGAATTCAGCGTACCTCTTGCACTGATCGGAGGCCCCTGGGACAGCGTCCCTATTTAAGTCAGCTGACTGAGACTAACAATACCGAACAGCCGGTTCCGTGCCGGTCTGAGGCCTAAGGACCCCTTTCGCGGGCAGGGGCAAAGCAGTGGCCTGAAAATGTCGATCAAGGCCTTCATGATAAAAACATGACCAAAAGGCCTTCTACATTGGCCCGGGCACCTAAACTAATGAAGAACCCCAGTGCTAGTCAGTGACCACAGTCCCTAGAAAGGGACCATGTGTCTGCAATAAGCCCAGGTCGGCAAGGAACGCATTTGCTGACAGGGATCACAGATGGGGCCCTATATGTTAACGCGTGGTCGGGTTGGGGTCAATTCGACCCCCCTCAAAGGTTTTTCCGGAATGATTTCCGAACGGTACGGCGAAGCCGCGCCAAATTTTGCATGCCCGTAAACAATTGAATAGCGGATCGTCTGATAATAGCAGTTTAGATGTACCTTGTGAGGTCGCTGACCTATGGCAGGTCAAAGTCAGGTCATGGTTTCAGCGAAGGCACGTTCTAGGGAATTGCTCAATCCGCTCAAACAACGGGGTGTTAGACGAGGCCATACATCTCTGAGATACTTTCTTAGGCAACACACCAATTGAATAAACAAATAGCATTGACCTAGGGTCAGTTATGAAGGTCAGACCAAGGTCAAAGTCAACCTGTTTTGCTACCCTCGTGCTTGCTGTATTGGCTGGTTTCTGGTGCTCATTTCGAAAAAAATATTGATAGCAGGAACCGCATTATACACCTTCCATGAACTTCTTATCGGTCAGAATGGGTCACTAACCTAGAATGACCCAGGTCAACATTTTGTTTTTAGAAACATACTGCCTAGCGTAATCTTTGTCGCTTATCCAAATGCACAACTCAAGCATTCCTATATCATTTTGGTCATCATGACCTTTGAAAGGTCAAACAAGGTCACTGACCTCATCTGAGCATGTGACATTTTCCTCAGCGTAGTTGGCTAGGTTCTAGGGGCCCTTTGAAGATCAGTCTGGAATTTGTCATTGTTTGACCTTATCTGACCCGAAGGTCATAACCTACGAATTTGAAACTCTGACCTAAGTGAGTTCACATACAGGCCAACACACCCTGTGAATTTGGTCTCTCTGGCTCTCTTAGTTCCCGAGATCTCAGGAAGGGAAGTCAAACTGACCCCTCTACCTGAGCGAAGGGTATCCAACCGGCCACCCAGGCGCGTGTTAAAAGGTCGAACAAGGTCACTGATCTTAACTGAACGTGTGACAGTATTAATAGGCAAGCTTCCTAGGATCCAGGGGGCATTTGGAGACCAATCGGGAATTTTACCTTGTTTGACCTTATTTGACCCGAAGGTTAAGGCCTAGGAGCCTCAAACTTTGACCTAAGAAATTTTATGTACAGATCAACACACTATGTGAATTTGGTGTCTCTAGCTCTCTTGGTTCCCGAGATCTCAGTGGGAGGGGTCAAATTGATCCCCCCCCCGTCGAGCGAAGGGTATCCAGCCGGCCACCCGTGTGCGCGTTAAGAGGGCTCTTGCGCTGGTCCAGTCCCTATTGACAATATAATTATATCTGAGAAATGACAAAGAAAGGGTTCGCATTCACAATGAGACAGCGGAAAGGCCCTGTGTCAGTCAGAGGTCCCAGTACCGGCGAGGGATCCTCCACTCCGTTTCAACCAGAACTCCATAAGACCTGTGCCTTGGTACCATTTATTGGACTCCCTTTGCTGGTAAATGCCAAGTTTTCATTCATGAGGAGCCTGCTCCGATCCGCTGCTGGGTGTCCCAGACAGAGGGCCTGGCGCATCAGGGAGGGGCCCGGTTATGATATATCCGTCTGGGGTCTCCGTGCCGACCACAGGCTACTGTACTCGCAGCGTCAGAATAGCAGCCGTTGGGGACCACACGCTGGTACGAAATGTCCTCCAGCTCCTAACCAAAAAGCTCCTAGCCAAACATTTTACCTGTACAATTTCAAAGTTGATTATCTAAACGGAATTAGACGCTACAGCGACACGAGCAAGAGAGGTCGCGCCATTGCGTCTTGCGTGTATGGTTGTGTGCATGAAAATCAGTCTCGAGTACCAATCTTATAACTGCACACGCAGATTATATTGTTCGGGACACCCTTTACACGCATACCACATGACTTCGTAAAACGCTGCGAAGTACCAATTCGCGATGCGCGATCATTTTCGCACGCCCGTTGACCGCTGCTGGGTGTTGCTGCGAGGTTCCGTGTTCGGTATCCTAAAATAGCGTAACTGCGATATCTCCGTCTCGACCCCTCACGATGCACCTCACGGAGGGGGCGACAAGAGATCACATGCAACGCGACAACGGCTCTTTTCTCACTCACAGTGCTTACTCGATGCACTGGAATTCTATTAACTGCACTTGAAACAAAAAACTCAACATTCTGGACGCATTAGTAATTTATGATCACACACCACTTCTAAGCACACAACTGAATCAAAGAGAAAAATCATGACATTCTTGGGTTCTTGGCGTTCATATGGCGTTCTTGTGCCATCCAGCGACAGGTTTTAAAACAACCTATAACTGAAGTGACATCTAGCGGCAGGAAATAAAACTTTTTAAGATGTGATAACTGGATGCTGTGAACGATATATGCTACAAGCTATGACGTTGCGAGCTTATATACTATGATCGCCGATAACGGGCACGGAATGGGACGCATTTTGGATGTTATGAACGCTTGGTGTTACGATCTTGGATGATATCAACACTGGAAACCGCGATCTTAGATGTTTTGGTGCTATCCGGTCGTTCTACTTATTCAGAAGGTATGCTAGCTGGGCGTCGTCCTCCGTTGGTGAACTGGTTGCCGCTGAGACTAATAAGTGGCATGTGTAGGTATGTCTCACCTAACCTGGAGGCTCAAAATGTTAGATAAAGTGCTCATGCCCTTCAGGTACGGAGGCCAGAGGCGATTTTGAGCCCTGCGATGTGGTGGTACTCATGAATTATCAGCCAAAATAATTGCGATATGGTTCAGAACATGATAAGCCTTGGATGTTCTGATCTGCATGTAAAATTACCTTCCAACAGGCAACAAGCTATGCATCTCGAATATCTCAGCATACCCTGGTTTATTACAACTTGTTGCACTTTTCACAACGGAGGTGAACAAAACTCTTCAATTCAAGATCCCTGGATGGACCAAATTTGCTGTCAAATTCTAAAACGTCCTGAATGTGGAAGCAGACCGGCACCAATTCATTTGATACATTTGCAGTAAGGCGGACTAGACCGGATTGGGTTGAAAAGTCTGTGAAAGCGGGTTTGATTACGGCAGATTGGGTCTAAGCTAGCCGAACTTCACTGGACCGCATCATGAACATTTAACCCGTGAAATGTTCTTGTCACTGAGCTCGAAGGCTTGTCAAACCTCAGATGTGCATAGCCCGTCCCAGCTACGAATCCGCGGCTACCACGGACTCGGTCCCTGTCTGGACGGTTCATGAGTCCACGGCCGTGGCCGGACTCGGTCCTCGTTCAGACCCGCCTGCCGCGCGCCTGCCCAGGTGGCGCCGAGCCATCCACACCGAAAGTCAGTTGACATCGGTCGCCCGGCAACAGCTCGTCTCGCAGGCTGGCCTTGACTGTTTTTGTTTGGTCTGGGGTCGTCCGCGCTGTCGGGTGGTAGCGAAGGACACCAGGATGGGCATTTGGTGGTCACGCGCATGGTGGGACGGTGCGTGGCGGCATGGCGTAAGGCTTGGCGCTCATTGAACACGCGCATGACAGTCACGAGCTGCGGATCTCGGCTGCGCTGATGTAACGAAACCACCAAGGACTACGTACATGTCACGGCCGGCGCGAACTCCCCAGCCAGGGATGCAGTAAGCGCAGCCACCTTCCGACTTAACATAATGTTAGTATCACATAATGTTTCTGAGAAATGAGTTGCGACAGCCGGCAGCTGGCCTTGACAGATGACGTTTCGTTTACATTTTGGCTACAGTTACTTCTGGGCAGATGCGGAATGGGGAACAAAAAATCAGCTGATCCGGCATTGTTTTAACCCAACCAGTCGGCGCCCCCCGGGCCATGAGAAGGCGCCACGCTCACTGCTTCGACCCCCTGTCTAGTCATGATGCATGTGAACCGCCCCGTTCAGGGCATGTGTACTTAAACGATAGCCAGACGACGCCACCGGGCAAAGGATACGATACGTCACGGATCACGTTAATGGCCGAAGTTCATGGCTTCGTCCGTCTTGTCCTGTCGGGTGTCCGACGCACGTACCTCTCCGATGGGTGTCGTGGGCCTGATCTTCACCTCGGTCTGCGCCGCGACGACGGCCGGTCACGGCGGCCGCAGTCCTACAGGATGCGCGCGCCTGTCGCTGGCGTCTGTGGCACCCCGCATCGGACCACGCGCCCCCGCCGGTCGCCGGGCCCCTCCCACCAGTATCACTCGATAAACGAGCAGATGATTCGCCGGGGCCGTCGCGAGCGTCCGCCGGAGCCGAGCGGAGATCCCGATTAGCGGCGTTGGAGTGCATGCACGGAACACTGGACCAACACAAAAACAGCAGCCCCGCGGAAAAAGCTGTCCACAGGACGCTCCGCGTCCTGTCGAGCCTGCTCGAGATACAGATTCCAAGCTTACGCCGCGCAGTTCTCGCGGAGTCCTAATGATGCGCGCTGCCGGTTTGGTCTGGTCGGTCTGGTCGGTCTGCCGGCAACAGATCGGCCGCGTCAGGGACGCTAGCGTCTGTTCGTTATCGCCGTCGTGGTCTGGTATGCCGGTCTGCGTACTTCCGTTTATTACGACCGAACTGCTGTTGGATAATTATGAGGACCAGGGTCATGCTGGTGAGGACAATTTCTAAGAAACAGATGATGCTGACGCATTGGTCACTGTGGATTTATAATCATTGTCGTTTCAACGGTGTGATGGTTACCAGCTTGATATGGACGGAGCTTTTTAACCCGCCAAACCACCAAATCTGACCTGGCATCTGACCTGGCTTCATGACATCATCTTATGGTTTTTGGCACAATACATACGTCTTAGTCGTTAAGTGAGATGCGTTTTGACTGGATGCTCTGGCACGGACCTTGCTTATATAATCGGAATGCACCATTATAAAACGGACACCAGATGCCAGCCAACGCTGACAACGCATGTGGTGTCTTCCCTCATGACACACGTGATCAAATGGCGCGTCTTACTCACACTTTTACCCAACAGAAGGCCTTTGTGTGTGTGTGTTTATGTATCAAGACACTTACCACAAACCTGCAAGGCTAGCAGGTTTGTGTTTGTGAGTTGATTCAGATATTTTGCGTTGGGGGGGGGGGATCTTTTCTTTTTGCCGGATATTAATAGCTAAGGGATTATCCTCGTAGTTCTGGCGTACAGAACGCAAATGGTCACATACTGGAGTCCCATGAGTTGCGCATTTTTACGTTCGGTATGTGCTCGTAAAAACGTAGCAGAGTGCTGTTTTTTATTCGCCAACATGCGATACACTTTCTCTGCTGCTCTCACATCAAACACACTGTGCGGTGCACTGCACCAGACGCCAGACATTTTTCTTTCAAACCTGGCATGCATGCGTTACAATTTCACTGACCAGGTGGTCATACAAGTTGTGAAAAGGCCGTCCGAACTAGGCTTCTTTTCAACGTGTTGTGGTTTGGCCATGCTACTCGGAACATTAAGATCCTGCTCTTTGACAACGGATTTGACCTTCACAGCCAAAGCTTCATTCGCGTAAGACTACAGTCAGATAGCCGTCCAGGGATATGTAAAGTAAGTAGTGGTGGGTGTGTAGGGTAAGTTTAGTAAGGCAGCGGCTCAACTTATGATTATTTCACCGATCCCGCTGGGAAAGATAATGATACTGAGCTCGCTGGTGTTGGCGTCTTGCTGATATTGATGTTCTTGTTGGCATTTGTTGGCCGACTTCCTAATTGAAGGGAGCCCGTTTTGGTGTTTGGGGTTCGCCCCCCCCCCCCCCCTCTCTCACCCGACTTGAACATAGCTTCCGCGCCCTAGATAGGCCAGTAGAGGCAAGAGAGACAGAGCAAGGTAGGACAGCACCGGCCTACCATACTACCGGTAACCAAACGCCGCCGGCGCATAGGACCCAAGATGCCCAAAACTATAGTTTGCAAAACTGCCAGCAGGTGGCAGGATCAACCGCTTTCACTCCCCCTTCTCCCATTCTGCATTTTATCTGAGAAGGGTACTCCTGCTCGTGCGTGGCCTTGATCTAGAAAGCCGTCTCGTGACACGTGATGTCTGCGTATTTTAACATGATTCACGAAGCAGGTGCACTCTCTTCAAAGCTGCGATTACGGGCGCTGACGGTTTTAGTACTATGCGCGGACTGATCCTAACCATTCAAAGAAACATGCCTCTTGTCATTCGCAATGCTTTCCTCATTCTTGCTTCACCCTGCATTCTCACAATCCCACGTTTACCCCGGGCAATGACATGCGCCAGTCATGGTGGGTTATGTGCCCCGTTCGAGAGCCGAGCACATACCCCGTAACGAGGTCGTTGTGCAGGCTTAGTACCCGGCGAAGGGTCCTCAGGTGCATTCAGGTTAGGCCCATTCACTTTCCACATTCACATCACGTCCACATCCACATCACGTCCACATCCACTTGTATTTATCCCATGGGATTATGTGGTCATTACTGGCCGAATGAGCTGCGATGCAAACCAAACAAACATGATTATGTCCAGTCAAAAACAAAATTAGTGTTGTTTTTCCAATCCAAAGTTTGATAATGGGGAGAGAATGAGAAGAATTGGCCTCCCACCATAAGGTGTTTAAGTCGTGGAGAAAACCGTTTTGGTAACTGATTTCTGCAATCAACCCCTTTTCAAATGGCACAACCTCTCCCCCAACCCGAGGGCAAATTGCGTCACATGGGGAGAAGTTGCATTGATGTTCTTCATCCGTCGTGATTGCGACTAATGAATTGCGGCGATTTTTATTAGTAAGTGTTTGCTTTGCGTTTACCTTGCCACTTCGGTTTCGGGTCGCTCAGGAAGGAATCGAGAATCGGCACAGTTACTGTAAGTACGATTTATTGTCTTGATGTCAAGAAGTCGTAGCTATCGTGTCAGTCAACTATTGACAATAAATTAGTCAATGACAGCTAGCCAACAAAGATGGGACGACACCACCGTCTGGCATCTTGTAAAACAGCTCGCTCCACCTCGAAACGCTGGCTATCAGACACTAAATGTTTCGGCACATGCAGCACACATATTCTTCCACGAACGAAGTATATCACGAAGTGCGAAGTTGTCATCACGAAGTACTTGTGCCAACGGTTTGGGATGCCTTCACGACCCTGAAACAAGACGTAAAGCTCACATCCAGCCCGATGCATAACCTGCCCAGGGCTGTCCACGGTGGCCGACCTTACCACCCTCTATTCCGAACCTTGACCGGACCGACACCGAACCAGATCAACGCTGGATCTGACCAAACTCTGACAGGATCAACAACCGGATCTGACCAAACGCTAACAGATCAGCACCGGATCCTGACCAACACTGACAGGGCCAACACTGGATCTGACCAAACGGCCGACAGGACCAACACTGGATCTGACCAAACGCTGACAGGACCAACACTGGATCTGACCAAACGCTGGCAGGATCAACACCGAATCTGACCAAACACCAACAGGATCACAGCGGATCTGACCAAACGCTAACAGGACCAACACTGGATCTGACCAAATGCTGACAGGATCAACACCGGATCTGACCAAACACTAACCGGATCAACACCAGATCTGACCAAATGCTGACAGGGCCAACACTGTATCTAACCAAGCGCTGACAGAACCAACACCGGATCTGACCAAACGCTGACAGGATCAACAACGGGATCTGACCAAACGCCGACAGGACCAACACTGGATCTGACTAAACGCTGACAGGACCAACACTGGATCTGGCCAAGCGCTGACAGGATCGACACCGGATCTGACCAAACGCTGACAGGACCAACACTGGATCTGACCAAACGCTGACAGGATCAACACCGGATCTGACCAAACGCCTACAGGACCAACGCTGGATCTAACCAAACGCTGACAGAACCAACACCGGATCTAACCAAACGTTGTCCAGACCAGCCGACAACACTGAATCCGAGGGCATCGCCGCTCCTCGCCCACACCGGGGCTAATCGCTTCCGTTCCGGTCGCGGAGCAGCCGAACGGTCCTTGTGCTGGCGCGGCGCCGCCCACCTCCATCCATTAACTGCTGGCCCTCGGCCCGGCTGAATTGGTGACAGATAATGACGGGTAATTGGAAGCGAAGACGCACGTGCGGCCACCAATTACCCTCCCCTCCAGCCTTCAATGCTCGGCTGGATCGACGCTGGAGGAGCGAACAGGGGACAACGTGACTCGGCAGGAAAGCGTAGACATAGGGTGGCGAGAGTGTACCTTCAGATACTTCGTAGTTGTGGTCGTCTCCCGATTACATTCATGACAATCTCTGCGGACATGGCTCCAGAGAGAGAGAGAGAGAGAGAGAGAGAGAGAGAGAGAG